TTCAATATATCTAATGTATTTCACTGTTCAGCTCAATTAGTTAAAAGGGTTTTGGATAGAAAATTGTGTATCTAGGCCGGCACAGCCCCCCTCTATAAATGTGCATGTACTGTAATACCTTCTTAAGTACTACACACTACACTGTTACTTTCAATCACTTTATGGTCCATGCTTTTATTTATGTTTTTCTTTTTTGATTTATGTATATACTTCTTTCTCAGCAATGTTGATTTTTTATGGTTATGTGTTGTATGTTGCATCACTTGCTGCTGCAGTAGCCCCTCTGGGGATGAATAAAGTATTTTTAATTTCATCGCATTGCATCGAAGTGCAGTGAAGTGCTTTAAAGGAATTCCTGCCTTTCAGCACTTGGGCCTTGGGTTCAGTTCCAGACCTGGGCTGCTATCTCTGTGTTTTTGTGTTCTCTTCATGTTAGTGTGGAGCCGTGGTAGCTCAGACAGGCAAGGGCATCTAGCTCCTGACCGGAAGGTCCCGAGTTCAAACCCAGGTAGGGTCAAGCAATGTAGCTTGCTCTAATTCCTCCCAAATGGCTCCCAGGTTCAATCAGCCATCTGGCTGATTCCAAATGAGTACCGTGAGTTAATCCTTCCGGGGGTAATAATAGGCTGGCCGGAGCATGATGCTGACCACATCACCTCCACTTCCAGTGTCGGGTGGTCAAGAAAAAAAAACGGTGGCCCTTGCCCCCCATCCCCCCTTGGGCCTTGATGGTTTGAAAAGGGACCTACTGTACCTACCTAGCATGTTCATGTGGGTTTCCTCCAGGTGGTCCAGTTTCTTCCCACAGTCCCAAGACATACTGGTAGTCTGGTAAGATTGGCCTTTGTGTGTGTTTCTGTATCTGTGTGTGTCCTGTGATCCAGGGTTTACCCCGCTTTGCACTATTGCATGCCAAGTTAGGCTCTGGCTGCTTGGTAACCCTCAGTTAGATGAAATGCTAAGATAATGGATGGATGGAAAATAAAAGGAACTTATCCACACATTAAGTATAACACAAAACTGAAAGTATTGTATACATAAGGATGTTTTTGAATTGATGAATTGTTAAAATGTGTATGAATCAGGAAAAAGGACTACTTGAGAATTATGTTTAAATATGTAGTAATAATTACTGTGACAGATCATCTCATACTTGTTTAAATTGACCAGGTGTTGAATTACTTTTACAGTAAATCAGTGATGCATTAAAGACAAGGTATCGGGATGCGTGCAGGTACCCCCAAATCTGCTATTATCTCCTGTGTTGTGATGACAAGAAACAGTTCATCTTCCCTAATTTAGAAAATCATCTAGAAAGAAAATTGACAATTATGATGTCCTGCAATCTGTGTAGTGTTAGTGTGTCTGCCCTGCATACCCTGCCTACTGTAGCTCCCAGATAGTCTCCGGTGAATTGGAAGTACAGGTAGTTGGATAAAGACAACGGATGGATATTGTGCATTTCATTGCCAGAATAAACTAAAGTCTCCTATGGGTTTGTACAACCCGGTCAGTCTGAAGTCCCCCTTAATTTAATAGGTGATGCAAATCCTTACGTTTTCAGTTCTCCTCCTACTGTATGCAGTATGTCAAGCTTTTTGAAGCAGATGAAAAATGACAATAATCATTTTTTTTAGTGGTTAAAATGTTTAGTACTGGATAAACTGGATAGTACTGTCTGCAATATGACAAAAAAGGAGGAGGAAAAAATAATAATATAAGAAAACAAACTCTAAATATGTATACTCTAAATAATAAATTATAAATTGGAAAACAAAAGCGAGATGTTGTTTTTATATCATTTTTAAACCAACTATCATTCCAAAAATGTGTGGACAAAAATTGAGACTAAAACGTTTACAAAGCCCAAAAAGTCCACATAAAGATATTTCACTAGGAATAACAACACCAAAGAATAAAGTGTCCTGGGAGGATTATGGAGTGAGCGTTTAGTGAAAATTTGGCTTAACCTGCTTGGCTGAGAGCTAACCTTCAGGCCAGAGGACGAGGAGGCTTGGGACCTCCATGCAGGGTGGCCAAGGGGCAGCTGCAGAGGTAGATATGGGGTGGAGGTGGGATGCAAAAGACGTACACGAGGGAGAGAAGGGGATCATGTACAGTATTTATAGTGTTTTAGGAGAGGAAATGACATCAGCAGTGATAAGTAATTACATTACGTTTAAGCTTATCCACAGATTCTTTAAAACATCTTCACAGCAACAGGGCTCTTACATTGTTTCACATTGTTGAAAGCCATCAGTTTAGATCTCCTGATTTTTCCTATCCAGAATTTAGTTCTGACATTGATTTGTAGTCATAACCAAGCATTTATTAACGTATTTGTGAGGAAACAGCATATTTCTCTTAAGAATTATGGGACGATATATCTTTCAGTTGCTCAAATTCTAATATGTATGAAGAAAGCCGATGACTGTTAAGGAGTAGGAGAGGTGTACTGTAAAATGCTGTAATGGTGAAGATGGGTCGGAGAGAGGCAAAAAGATTCATGCAACCAGGGAGCTTTTATGCACAGGGAACTGAAACGGTGAGAAAAAAATTTGACTTCCACCTTAACTTACTGTAAGCTAAATAAAACCATTTCAGTTGTCTGGCCAAATTCTAATAATGGCGAAGCTAGCTGATGAGTGTAATGCTTTGATTTTAATTAGTCTGGCAGAGAAAGATGCTGTAGCATCAACCCAGAAGAGTAGATTCACACATAAACAGGAAGAGAGCTACTGCTTTGCAGCTAGCAGCTTCACAGGATTTCCTAATCTCCACAAGTGCTAGGGACAGCGTTTGAGCGAAACCACCCAAGAGAAGAGAGTAAATGTGACTGGAAGCTTTGGGGGAAAAGTCGAGGGCTGGACCGCACCAGTTGGATGCCAAACAAGGGGGTGATATACAGTATGGAGGGAGCTCATCATTGTAGCTTAGGCAAGAGTGCTAGGGACAGGATGAGTTGAACAATGAGGTCCAGATCTGGTGAAGAGTGATGCTGTGTACTCATACAAGTACATATACAGTATAACTTAACTTGGAGCTTAAGAACCATGTAATCAGGTGATATGTGAGGCACATATAACACATGAAGAAGGCTCTGTGCCATTTTTTTCAGGAGTGGAGTGGGAATTTGTGAATATGGGCAGCTAAAATATGGATAGTGGAGAGATAACGGAGTGAGGAAGAAACAAAACAAGACATAAGCTGGGGTCCTAGATGCGATGGGTTGAGCACTCAACCAATGCTGGAGAGAAAATAAAGCAAAGGTAAATTAGAAAGAGAGAGAGGGAAAGGAAAATGCTAAAAGTGTGGCAGAAAAATGCCACAGTTGTTCTGCATTTTTGGAAGGCTTTCCGACATCAGGACAAAAAAAGCAAATGGCATGCTAGGAACAAATCCACTTGTTTTTGTGGAGGGTTGAGGCTGAAGTGCCAAGAAAGAGACACAGGCCCTGGATGAATGAAATGAAAGTAAGATCACAGCAATTCCAAGTGTGAAACACATCCATCTGCAACAAAATGAAACACCAAGTGCTACTGTAGAAAGATTCACACAGCACGGTGTTCAGCCAGAATTTATGCGCAGGGAAGTTTAAGTCTGGGGTTAGAATTTTACCTCCAGCTGAACACCATTTTTCCTGGGCAGATTAGTGTTAATTGCAAGTTAGACCTTCAGAGTAGTTTCCTAGTGACAATAGACAAGTAATTTCCAAAGACAACAGTTTAAGGTCTAAATAACCCATCTATCACCCATACAAATTTATCTCAACTTTTGCAGCATTTGAATTCTTTAAAAAAGGTTCTGTAGCATTGGTTTAAAGATTAACTCTAGCATCGGAAGGTTCTATTCTGGGTCTTGCAGAATCAGTGCCTTGCAAAAGTATTCATCCCCTTCCAATGATGTCCCATTTTATTAAGTTCAAAATTAAGTACACTCATACCCTGGTATCTGAACCTAATATGCTCCTGAAAATCTGTTCAGAAGGCGGGAGATCATAAATCCAAAATAAAAATTCTGTTATTTGTTATGGGGAACATTCCCCCCCATTCCGAACCGAAGACAAGTTAGCTCAAAAAAACACTCTAAACATACAGTATAATACCATACAGACCATTATAGCCAGCTTAGTGAACAGTGCAGTTCTGCTCAAATAAGCCAACTATAGCTGTAAAATAATGATATCATGTTTACATTTTTCATTCTTTCGCAATACTGTTGTTGACTATTACGTTAAAGAATCTTTTTCTCTTTCTTGGGCCCATAATGATAAGCAACTACAAAACAAACACAAAAAAATACTTTGAAAATGAGAGCACAAGCTTCCACTGTGATCGTAAACAAAGCACTGCTGCCTTACGGCATCCTTGACCATAATGCCTTGTGCCCACAAAGTAACAAACAGCTGTTCAGTGGCGCTGAATGCAAATGTTCGCAAAAAGTTCTCGGTCACTTTTGAACTTCAAAATTTGGAATTAGCGAAATTTCGTTCTTATAAGGAATAACAAGGTACAAATTCTTCATGTTCGGATTAGGGAAAAATTCAAATACCGAACGTTTATGAGTGAATACACATTTAATGTGCTATTCATTTTTATGGATGAAGGATTAAAATGTCAATAAAGACTGTAAAGTATAAGCAATTACAATCTTTGTTAAAAGACCAGGTGCCCTACCATGGGATAATAGCTACTAGTCTTGTTTCCAGTAGAGCTAGGCTGAATTTGTAGGATTACATTTTATGTACAGTATTTCTATGTTGAAAAACGAGTGTATTTTATGAGAAAGAAATTGTGCATCTATAATACACAGCAGACCTTTATGTTTTTATGAATACAAACAGTATACAGTATTACCCTTATGAGCTGCTCACAGGCAATAAGAACTGATTCATTTTGTCTGGATGTACTTTTTATTGCAATTGTCTTCAAAACATTTTAATCACTTGAGTACAAAGTATACAAAAACTGACTTTTACAAATGCTGATGTATGTACTGAATGGTAGTGAAATGTTTTTATTGAAAAAGAAACACACAAACAAACTTTGTATTAGTCTTTAAATTTCAGGCTGACTGTTATGACCTTCATTATTATGAAATTCAGTTTTCTACATAAAACCATGTTATCACCCACATAAGTCACCACCTAGATATAACGTTACAGCATTTAACTTCTCTTCTAACATTCTTCGTGTGAAGCTCCAACAGATATCCATTTTAACTACTGAATATAAGGAATATACTGTATAAGAATGTGCAAAGAAAATAAAGTTTAAGAAAAGTCTTGAAATGTAAAAATACAAGGTGGCCATTTTATGCTGTGTTAATTAAAAGGACAGATGTAAAATTATGTATTGTTTTTTTTCTATTCAAAAGTATGAATAAATAACTATTTTAGTTTATTTGCAATTTTTATTTAATGTTAGCTCCATAATATAGTTTAAGCTTGCAAAAAATTGAATGTTACACTTTCATTAATGTTTTGTTAAAAGGGTGGATTTTAAAAAAAGGAAAAAACAATTAAAAAATTAAAGTATTTAAGCATAAAAGAAATCAAAGGTTTCTTTAATGCCAAAGTAACACTGTAACTGAACTAGCTGTGCATGTAATATTTATTCAATGGTATTAACAGTACTTTAATAAAATGTTGTCTAATTAAATAGACTGAACATTGACAAGATAATATACACAACATGATGTATACTGTATATATAAGATATATATAAAAAAATCTGTTTTTATCATTTGTATTTTCTTCACTTAAAAGCAGGAAGAAACAATTGGTAAAGAAACTTTAAGCCATTTTGAGTTTTTTTTTTAAAGATCACTGTTGATAACACCCTCAGTATCAGTCTCCTATTGTCAGTCTATTTGAAGTTAATGAGTATTTGAGAATGTATTTTATTTTCAGCATTATGGTCAATTACATTAAATTTACCTTCTCTTTTCCTCATCCAAATGCCAAATACTTATTGTGTTTTATATCAAATATCACATTTTGTATTACTATTAATAGTTGTGTATTTGTGTATCGGACAATAGGTCATCATATACATACTATGAACCTACCATTTAAAGAGCTTTTTTGTGCTAGAAACCAGTTGCACAAGTTAATACCAAAGTAGACAGTATCACAGAAGAAGAAAAAATGTGAGAGGTATTAGATACAAATATTTGACATACAGTACTAACTTCTCTTAACTGCAGATCCTAATACAACATCCTGCATAGCTCATGTTGTCACTATTTTTTTTTAACAAAGGACAACTGCATTTATTTTTATTCAGCAGTCTCAGACAGTAATTTATATTTACCTTTTTATTTACCTTTTCCATAATTTGAATAACTGAAATATTTGGTAGTAACCTGGGACATTTTATTTGTTGATTGAATGAAAGATTCATTCTGGGATGGAGAAAGCAAAAGAAACTATCTGGAGCTTAAGTCTGTAGTGCAATAATTAATTATTCAGGAAAGCATGTCAAATCCTTTCAGATCTAAGCTAACTTACAGTAAAATGTCTGAGTGTCTCAGTTGCCTACAACTTTGGCAAGAAAACTATTTGCTTCCATATCTGGTTTATTAAGAAGCTGGAAGGCACTATGGTTGATAATAAACACAAATGCTTTAGAAGGTTAATAGTTCCTCAGTAGCCAAGTTGGTGCTGCGTTACCAGACAAGGCAAAGTAAGACCACCACCAAGGTTTTTCCTGTACCTCCTCTTCACCAGGTTCTCCAGTTTCACGTTGGGTGTATCTTTCAAATTGATTAAAGGGGTCAAACCGGTCATAGGTGTCTTGAGCAGGGAAATGATCATTTATACCTGGTTCCAGAATTTCACGTTTTAGTATGAAATCTACCCGTCCAGCTTTCTGCAGTCTTGGTGGTAAGTTAATCTTTTTCATTACTTTTGTGTAGCCCGGTGCAGAAGCAGTAATGATATGTGTCCCAGAGGTCAACAGTCTCCAGTAGTCCCCATCTTCAGCTAAGGTAAAGATTAAAAATATAGTTTTATTTTTATTTCATGCTTGATGAAATGTGATACTGAGGACAGTGAGAACTTAAAATAAACATAAGGGGAACAAGACAAGTAAGATTTCTTTTTATATGAAAATGTAAACAAATCGGCATTTATTATACAGTTCATAGATCACCACAAACATCCAAGAAGCCTTTTCTTGTCAGTGAAGACCTTAGATACTCTTTTAATGCTTTTCATTATTTAATATCCCATGACTATTTTAAAACACAGCTGTGTTTAGAATTTTATAAATCACACATGTATATTATATTCATTGACAGTTCTAATTTTTCATTGATTGCATAAACCCTTTACATCCAGTGTTACAACTTAACTTTAATCAGTACTTATCACCATCAGAAAACGGAGACTAGAGCCTTATAAACTAAATACAAGAATATTATTTCCAAGTGATTCTGAGCTGCTAAACACTCTGTACTGTATCTGTCTTCCACTAATCATTTCCTAATCAATCAATTGCAAGTCAATAACTCTAATACTTATTAAACTCTCTGTACTACAAAAACCACAAACATTTCTGGTGGTGTTAAAGCACAAGAGCCCATATGTACAGTATATGTATTCTGATCTAAAACACATCTTGGTAAATTTGGTAAGACTTGAATGGTTCTCAGTAGCACGGAAGTACTGTTTACACTTGCTTCTGTTCAAATTATTCTGAGGACGTGCCCCTGCAGATTTAAGCCAAGTTAAGAACACCAGGGTGTCTCAGTATAAAAGCAAGTATATTGTGATTATTGTTACTGAGATACATGGATTAGTTAAGAGGAATTCTCCCATTCCCAGACTTCCTAAAACTGACAGAGTGAAATAGGTATTATAGTGACTTTGCTATTGAAAATGTCTGTGGGGGGAAACATAACAGTTAAGGTAATTTAAGTGTTAAGGTAATGTAGTGACTTAGAGCTGTATTTTGTTCTTCTTAATCATGTTCTATACTGAAGTAGTTCAAGTAGGTACATTAGCTGCATCAGCAAACTGTACGTAGGCTGCAAAGGAACAAGGTTTATTCCATATTGAAAAGAGGAGAAAAGAAAAACGTTTCGGCCGTGGAGCCTTCTTCACACACCTGAAGAATGCTCCACAGTCAAATCGTGTTTATTTTCTTCTCTTTTCAGAATGGAATTAACAGTTTCTATACTGTATCTTTATCGCTATTAAATGAATGTATTATGTTTTAATAATTTGCTGTATGTCGTTTGATTGGCTCAATCAAACGACTGTTTGATTGAGCCAATCAAACAGCAGTAATAAGGAGACATAAGTATTTATGTACTATGGAAGAGTATTTTAGAAAAATAAAAGCTACACTGTTATCTGCCCTAAAGATACTGCACACATAAAGTATTCAATTCATAGCAGTAATAAAATTAAAATTTACAGGGCATTGCTGGTTGTCAGCTAATGAAATTTCCAATCAAGTGCTTGTGGTGGGTTGCATTTTTGATCCTTGGTCTCTATAATTATAAGGAATTATGAAATGAATGAAAGAGACTAACATTTCACATCAGGCATTAATGATAACATCTACCAAAACTGTGATTAGGCATTGCAGGTCAGAATGGAAAGGTGCAGATCTTTTGAAAAAATACAGATCTTAATTTTCATCAGACCTTCTCCATTTCAGAAAGATGCTCCTACTGTAGATAAAAAACAAAGCTTTGCAACAGCAGATTTACAATATAATTATGAAATAATTACCGCTAAAGATGTCATGTCGTACTCCTCTGACTGATATACGAGCTCCTTTGATTCCTTTACCGGTTTCGTCTTTGACTATCCCCTTTATTCCACGATGTACCTGAAGCAAAAAGGAAAGGAATTTCAGTTTTGAATTCAAGTAAAGGTGTAATCAGGAAAAAGGAATATACAGTAACAATGTTTACAACTACCGGTGTCCAATATGAACTGTGAGCTTTGAGACCATAGTATTTTATGCAAAGAACTTTTGACACTGTTGTCAGTCAAAAATAGGCAGTATTTTTAGGGGGACTGCCCTTAATATTGCCTTAGGGCAACCTTGTTGTGAGAGGTGGTATATAAAAATGAATTGAATACTTTATGTGTGCAGTATCTTTAGGGCAGATAACAGTGTAGCTTTTATTTTTCTAAAATACTCTTCCATAGTACATAAATACTTATGTCTCCTTATTTTGTGTTGAGTCGTGAAATAGCTTTTAAAGATTAAAAGACTCACAGCTTCCAAATAGCTTAAGAGAGGTTCTTTGTTTTGCTGCCAGCCCAAGTACAGTTCATCTTCACTTGGAAACTTGTCACAGCCCAGTTCTACTGTTATCTCAAAACAGTTGGTATGAAGGTAATTGAAGTCAGACATTCCTGTTTAATAGGAAAATGCATTAATGTCACACACGCATAGTATATTGTACAATACACCAGGTACACAGCTAAAAAGTAGTTAATTGTTTTTTTTTTAAGTTAAAGATAGAAAAGTTTAAATAAAACTCAGAAGCAGCAATAACTTATGTAAAATATTATAGTGAAACATGTGGGTTTAAGGCAACAAGAGCTCCCATGTTAGTACACAGCTACAGGACAAACCAATGTAAAGACCATGATACATCACTGACACTTCATATGGCACATATTTGACAAATTGGTCTACCAGTATCTGGTTCTATGTATCACACTATCATTTGGAATTCACAGCCCAGTGTCAGCACAGTAGAAGAAGTTACCATGAAGGATACTGGGAACATAGTTCCAAAAACTATCCCTGGTGACAATATTGTTTTGAACCTCTGTGCAGGAGGGAACAACAGAACGTTTCTTTGTCATGGATGCAGATATTTGTTCTATTGTCACACAATGTGGCCATTTTTCATCATGAGAAACCCCACAGACTATATTCTGTATAATATTAAACACATTCAAGAGGACTCCGGCCTTTTGGAATCATTAACACCTGTCAGTTATGTCAGTAGCCAGGAAGTGCCCATTTTGCAACAATCCACTTCTTCATGAATTATGTTATGCACAATAGCCAGTGAAATGTTTGAAATATCATTACAGTATTTCATGTATCTGCAGTACAATTAACATTTTCATCCACAGATGAAGTGCTTGGTTGTCCAGGTCTCTCCTCACCTTGACTGTCTGCCCCACTGCTATCAGTCATACCACCATGGCCCCACACTGTCTGTGTATCTCTATATAATGGAAGTCTAATTCAGCCAGAGTCATGCCCATAGAAATAAACTCAGACTGAACACCTTAGTTCAAGATAGTTTCATTAGCATTAAAATCTATCACACTGCCAGGGGCACATGTCAGAGCAGATAATGTTTAAAGTGCTGTACCTCTTCAAGTCCCCTAAGCTACCTTCTTTTTTAATCATGAGAGAATTTGTAACCTTTTAATTGAACATATAACCCTCATACAAAAATTTTCAATAATGATTATAAATGAAAGGTTTGTGGTTTTGGCAGGCCCATTTACCTCCTGAAAAGCTATACCACATTGCTCCATTGATAATACCCCCTTTGCTGGCAAAAGATGCACCACATCTGTCTGTGGAGTTATCAGACATGGTGGGGTGTGCATCTGCATAGATCCGAGACAGCAGTTTGAACACCTTTCAAGAAAATGAAAAAATGAAAAGAGATATACTTAATCCATTATTATTTTCAGACCCAACTATTTGAGTAGCAAAACCATATCAAACTACTCAGATTACTGAATCTTAGGAGGGCTTAATTTCACTTGTGATCATTTATACTATATCATTACCTCTGACCACAGTTTTAACACAAAAGATTCAAAGAATATGCAGAATCAAGTTTGTTTTGTATTCAGATCCTGTGTTTAATTCTGTTATATCCAATCTGTTTTGAGCTTTACCATATTACCTGTTCGTCAGGGGAAGGAGAAAACATTTTTTCTTCTTCTGGGTGACGTGAAAAATCATAAGGGTAGGAGACGACCAATTCTCCTCCATGTAAACTCGCCGACATCACGAAGGGAATTGATCTTACCCACTTCATCACAGCATATGTCTCCGGAGCTACCTACAGTTTACAAAAATAAATACGCTAACACATTTTCCCATTTTAGCTGTATATATCGTCTCCTAAGAGGATCACACATTTCAAACTTTCTAAATCATGATTAGCTTTTCAAAAGCTATTGACTTTAGTTCTTTATTAGCAGTACTCCATGTGATACTGTTACCGTTGACTTATCTTAAGGTCTTTGTTAAAACAATAACAAACAGTTGAAAGAACAACACTTTTATTTACTTATCCTGAAGAAATCATGCCAAAGATGCCTGTGGTAGCAAATTAGTGTAGTCTTTTATGGGGATCTTTATGTTCAATCCATGACTAACTTGTAATTATGAACAAAACAAAGTAATTTTCTCCCAAGTTTATTTTTTTCTGATTGGTATGCTCAGTTCATCCAGTGCAACACTGCACATTGGGCAATAATGTCTCAATTTGCCTTTGTCTTTAATCAGATATTCTGCCTCTTCTCATGTCATGCCAAGTTGTTTAAAGTCATTCTTATTTCCATCCAAAATTTCCTTTGCCTTCCTTTCTTTTATCTCCAGGTTTCCATTCCATAACTTGGCTGGCTCTTCTGTCTTTATCCTTTCTGGAAATGTGCCCCAATCACTGTAGTCTTTTCTTCCTTATTGTTACCTCCAGCTCTTCTCGGTCTGTTATTTCTCTAATTTTTACATTTGTCAACTCCTCTTTCGGATTATATTAAGCATTTTTTTCAGCTATCTGTAAACGAGCTTCTATTTTATTTTCATACTGGCTGCTGTCTTTAGCCACGTCTCCACTTCATAGCTGAGTACTCAAGACAACTGTCACGAACCGCATTCCTGCGAGCACCTCTCGCCGCCAACACCCTCGCCCGAATTAATCAATTGTCATTCCTAACGTTCTTCCCTATTTATACCCTCTCACTCCACTCAGTCCCCACTCACTGTTGAGAATTACCTTTGGCTTTCTCTTGTGCTCGACCTGATTTCTGGCTGCCCGGCCTTGTTTTTGTTCCGGCTTTGACTTCGTCTCATCTCTCGTTTTGGATTTGGATACTCTCAACCTGACTCTTGTGATACCCGATCTGGCTCTTCTACCTCGACTACGACTTTTGCCTTTTGCCCTTAGGATTTGGATACCAAACACTAGCTGCCTACAGACTCAGCACCGCATAAAGTCCAACCAGGTACTCCTAATGTCACCCTTGACAACAACATATCCATGTGAACTGTGGTTGTATTTTAAACTTCAGCCTTTATATTTCTGGACACATTTATAGTTTCTTAATTGTTTTGTTTTTTCTGCCCTTTCTTGTTGTATTTCTTTGTCACATCTGCTATAGCCTTTAACTGGGCTGCCAAAGTCATAAACCCTTTTATGATTTTAACCCTCTCAGCATATTATTACATACCAACTTTTAGATTTTTGTTTCTAACAGCAACACAGTATGCAATTCCCTAACTACTGTAAAAACCTTTCCTGCACTTTAATAATTTGAATTACAGTACTCATTTTGAGGTTAATTAATCTGCATAATTATTGCAGAATGAAATAATTTAGACTGAACAAATTCCACATTCAATTAGGGCATATATTAATGATGTGTGATGAAAATAAGTTAAAAAATAATCTTGGCTACTCTCCCCTTAAAAGAGTTCATGTTGCAGGATATCAAGCAATCAGCTGCTGGATAAATGACCTCTCTGAAACCACCCAGCTCTGTAAATGTGTTCATTTTCTTTGCCATTTTCTCACTCCTTTTTTCAATCCCTTCAGTTTCCTGAAACCTACATTTGTTTTCTTAACTACACTATAGCACAGTTTATCTCTGTGTAAAACTCCAATATGGCAGTAACAGGAATCACTCTTCATTTCTGTATTAGGTTGGTAAGTTTTTTTACATTAAATAGCCTGGAAAGCTGAAAAAGTCATTCTCATTTAGGGGAATATATATTGTTTTTGGAAGCACTGAATAACAACTGCAAAAATCTGATGTTAATGAAAGCAATATTATATTATATTAACAATATTGAAACAAAATCTTTGTCTTCGTTCCAGGCTTCAACCTGCAGGACTGCAATAGTTACATATCACATTATGATAACAACCAACACTGTTACAATGGAATTTATTATAAATAAAAATAACATATTATTGATATCAATCCATCTTTTATGTGTCTTAGGACACTCTGTATCAAGCTGCAATAGTGTGTTTTGACTAATTATATTATATTATATTATATTATGTTATTGCATCTGGGAAAACTGAAGCAGTAGACCATGTGGGCACTGTAACGAACAGTTCTTTCTGGACCCTATGCGGACGACCCAGTCCGACGGAGTGGGGAAACACTAGGGAAACGTCATGCAGGAA